TAATAATGAAGTCTATTTAATAAATATATTCCCAATAACCACATACGCTTATGCACAAATGTTTATAATCTGGAAGGAATAAACTAAGATATCATATTTCTCTCATTAACATTCTTCTAAGAACGTAAATATATATAGACCAGCAAAATATTGATAAGTTTACGGATGTTTCAAACTATTCAATGAACTTGTCTCACTATACACTCGTGAATCGCATTAATTTATATTGTTACGGGGGCAAATTTATCTTACATGGGTTACAAATTTATATACTTACATGGGCGAAGCATACACAATAAAAATGACCCGGTAAGAATTTACTAATGAAATTTTACATGGTTGCCGCTACGTTTAGTTCAATTTGTAGATTAGTCACCTTTAATTGAAAATTGTTCGACTATAGATAGTTTTGAGAAAAGAGTTAAGTGTAAGTAATGGTTAGTATTATTATTATGAAGTTCTTAATGTTTTTCATGTGCAATTTTTACAATCATATACATTTCATTTTTTGAAAGTTATTTTTCAAAATGTACATACACCATTAAAATTGTTTAGAGTAAAAAAATGGTACGAGTAAATATTACTCAAAGTAAATAAATAAATATTATCTTTTATAAAGGAAATACACGTAATTGTTTGAACATTCATTTAAGAAGCTACATTAGATACAACAAAAATTTAAGAAAAAATATCGAAATGATATTATATAATCTTAACTACCACCTGAGCATCATCTCATCATCATAGTTATTGAAAAGTATTTTGTCATTGTCGTCTAGCTCTACATCATATTCATTGTAGTTTTCTTTTGTTCTTAAGGTTGTATTGGCTTCTTTTTCTGACCTTGTCTTTTTTCTTCGTAGTATAATGAGCTGATTGTAAAATTATTGGTAAATTGGTGGCACAAAGCATAGTAGGTCTTGTAAATTTTTTAATTTTTTGTATGTCAAAGTCATTGGTGAACTGTATAGTTGGCTATGACTAATATTCTGACCTGTTCTTCCACGCATCTTCTTCATACAGTTAACAGTTATAAATTCAGTCTCTTCATGAAATGTGTACTTAAATTTCATAGTAAACGGGTCTTTCTTCTTAAAACGAATCCATTTTACTTCTCTTAACTTTATCTTCTTATTCTCATCATCCTTTTTAATACTTTCCTGCACGTACTCGTTGAAGATTTTGAGTAAAATGAAGTATTCCATCTTCATTTCTTCACATTTAAACCTCTTAGAACTGTTTCTCAAAGCATTTATTCACTCACTGGGTACAGAAATATTAAGGTACTTACTTTTTTGTACTTTTCCATGACTTTAAAATTTTCATCGCATTCCGATGAAGGTATGTCTCGGTTCAAGGAATTTGTGGTCTATTATTTCTAGCTAAGTTTCTATAATCAAGTACATAAAAAAATTTTTCATTGTCAAATCACTGCACTATTCTAATTCTGTACTTGTTACTATTCTGTTCTGTAATTATGTACTTTGATAAAGACCAGCAATAAATTTCCAAACACATGAGACGAACTTCCATAGAACCTCTGAAGCACATTTCTTGAACAAATTATGAATCCAAAATATAATGTCATTAATACTGGCATATAAAATACTTTGTTGGTTGTAAGTACTGGTGTAGGCAAAGAGCGAAACAAATTAAGCGCAAAATTATAATTTCTCTACTCAAAGCATCCAATTGTAAATTTTTATCCATATTATTTAAAAACATGAAAGTTTTTGGCGAAAAAAATAAAATTTTAAATTTCCATTTTAACACCTTGTACCTTTCTTAATATCAACATTTTATAAAAGCAAGCTTGACTTAAATCGTAATATTTTAAAGTGCAGAAACCTACGGTTTCTTTTTGAACAATGACTTAAGGACCACCTGTATTATGGAATTGATCCTGCTAGAATTTATGAAAGTAATAATAATGTCAAAGACTACATAAGCAAGATGAGTAACAAAAAACATTAATTTTTTAATATACGAAGGCTTTTTTCTACACTTGAAATTGCTATATCTGATAAATTAATGTTGATTAAAATCCAATATACCATAAACCTGGAAAACTACCCTTTTCTTCTTCTTCCTTTTAGTACGTAGGCTTTAAAGGTCTGTTTTTCTCAATATTGGCCTCCTAAAATGTTTAAAATTATCACACATCTTTTTCTTGGTCTGCCAATACTTCTTCGTCCATTTGGTGACTTATCTCGTGCTATTCGTACAATTCTATCCTCTGTCATGCTACTGATATGTTCGTTCACTCTAATTTCGTTTTGTCACCATCCATTTATGTCTTCTATATTGCATGCTCTTCTTATATTTTTCGCTTCTCTCCCTATCCAACAGACTTCTCCCTGATATTAGTCGGAGCATTTTCATCTCTGTTGTTTCTAGTAGTTGTCTCATTTTAGATGTGTGATCTTGGCTCCGTCGTGTATGTTAATACAGGCCAATTGCTGCTTTATAGATTGTTGTTTTGGGTCTTGTCTTAGGTGTTTGGTTTCCAGATTGTGTCATTAAGAGAACCCGCGCTTTCACTTGCTTTTTACGCTTTGTTGTCGTTACTATTCTTCAACATTTCCATAACTAGTTATATCTGTTCCCAGATATCTAAACCTTGCTTCCTGCCTTTATTATTTTCCCATCAATTTCGATTTTACACCGTAGTGGGTATTTAGATGTTGTCATACATTTGGATTTTTCTACTGATATTATCATATTGTATTTTTTAGCTGTTGTATTGAAGATATCTGTCTCGACGATTAATGTAGTGCCGTCTGCATAACATAATATTAGGATTTCTTTGTTCCCCATTCTGTAGCCATGACCTTTATGTACTGCTTGTATTATTTCGTCCATTACTATATAAAAGAGAACTGGGCTCAACGAGTCACCCTGTCTGACTCTGCTTTGTACTGGTATACACTGTGTTAGTTTTCCATTCATCTTTGCCTGTATTTGATTATGGAGGTAGATGTTTATGATAGATTCTATAATATTGATTGGTATGTTTCTTTCATACTGTAGGTGTAAGACGTCTTCGACTTAGATGCGATCGAAAACTTTTGTCAGTTCTATAAAACATAGATATGCTGGTTTATTTTACTCGTTGGCCTTTTCTGTGATTTATCTTAGTACAAATAGGGGAGTTAACGCAGGATCTTTCGGATCTGAATCCTTGTTGTTTATCTGATAAAGTTGTTAGTTTATTGGTTTTATTGGTTAGGACTTTTGTGGTAAGCTTAAGTGCGGTGTTTAGTAGATTTATACCTTTATAATTGTTGGGTACTTCTTTATCACGTTTCTTAGACATTGGTATCATTATGCTCCGTATTTTAGAAGCACTTTGGTTATTCCGTCTGGTCCTGGTGACTTTCTATTTTTGAATGAATTTATATATATTTTCACTTCCTGAAAACTGATTTCTATTTCGTGTCTTAATTCAGGTACGTTATTGTATTGATTATTATTTTCCTTTGCTTTAAACAGTTCCGTCAGGTATCTTTCCCATTAGTTTGCTGGTCTATTATTGTATTTCTTCAATTCTGCCATTTCTTTCTGTTGGATTCTTATAAATCTCCATATTTGTTTTGGTGTACTATAGAAGTCGCTTTCCATCCTTTTTGTAAACCATTTCCAGTGTTCACTTTTTGTTCTTCTTACCAACTGCTTTGTTTCATTTCGTATTCTTCTATAGTTGTCTCGAAATTCTGGGGTATTTGATGTTTTGTACTTCTTGTAAGCATCTCGTTTCTATTTACATTTCTCTTTTATTTCTTTTCTGAACCATGGTGTATTGTTGATGTTTTTATTTTTCAGTATGACTTTGCGTTTTCCTATAGCTTCTGTTGCTGCTTCTTCAATGTTTTTTTTAAATTATCTCCCAGCTCGCGTTTATATCTTCGATGTCGTCGATTTGTTTCAGCTGTACTAGCCTCCTTTGGTACATTTCTCTTGTAAAGTCGTTCCACAGTGTTTTTAAATTGAATTTTTCCTTGGTGATTTTCTGTATATTTATACTGCAGCTTATGGTCGAAAAATATATTATTAATTTTCAGTTCGTTAAAAGCACAGAGATTAGCCATAAGTTTTCCATTTGCAGTGACATGGTTTTCATTAATTCTTTGTTTTACTCCTGGAAATAATTCATTTCCGATTCGTGCATTAAAGTAACACATAAGTATTAAATGCTCTTCATGAGATATTTCATCCAGGATGGTTTGCAATTGTTCGTAGACTGCCTCTCGTTCCTTTTTAGGTTTGAAAACCTCGGGGCTATAGATAGATATGACATTTAACTTTTGGTAGTCCATTGTGATGTTCATATGTATTATTCTTTCGGAGATATAACGGCAGTTATTTATTTTGTCTTTGAATTTTATGGACAAGTATACCTACGCCTGCTCGTGCTCGTTCTTTTTTCCTCACTTCACTGTATGCTAGGAAATATTGGTTATATTCCCTTTGGTCTTTACCTTTTTTCTTGGTTTCTTGGATTGCACAAATGTCTATGTTTTTATTTATCAGTTCTTCTATTATCTCTTGGTCTTTTGTTGTTAAAAGAAGTAATGTTCCATATTGCTAATCTGATTGTGGGCTTATTTTTCCTTCAGGTTTTCCTTTTCTTTGCGTGGTTCATCATCTTTGGTTTCTTCTGGTTCCCAGGCTTTATATCGGTCCTTTGAGCCTTGTTTTCTTTTACAATGGGTAGAATGGTAAGCTGGCCTATCAACTCCCGCTTTTATCCAGGCTTGGGACCTACTGTGGGCATGAACGCGACTTCTGAGCTACTCAATCCACCCAGTCATCGCGCTCATAACCCCCAGGAATTGTTGAAAACTACACAATTTATATAATTGTTTAAAAAGAAAATCATACCAATTGCTAAAACTGTAGAGGTATCAGTCTGTGGTGGACGCTTATATTTTATCCTGTTTATTTTACTAGCTAGACATATTTTTTTATATAATAATTATTTCACCTTCAGATCATTAAAGATGAAGCACAAATATGGACTTGCTGTTCTACTAATTTGGATGCCAATGATGCTGAGCGCACGGGTACCTCCAAATCCCTGCCCTAAATACTTTAGTTACTATAAAGATCCCCAAGGAAGAATATACGGAGCAGTGGTTCTGCCATACGATAGATCCACGTCGTTAGTATTTAGTGTAAACGCATCTTTCGTGGGAAATTTTAACCGGCAAGCGGTAAGTTTTTTAATTTTTTTCTTCTTCGTTTAGTGAGGCATATTTTAATTGTTTAACGTTATTTCTTATTCTGTTCATCATTCTTTTTTGCAGCTTATTTTTAATCTTTAAGTCGTTTTTAAATTTATAAAACCGGTATTACGCAAAGTCTTGCAAGCACTGTAGATGAAAACATAAAGGAAAATTTAACGAAGGAACAACACAATGTTAAGTAAAAAACAGGGAGCAATAAACAAACGAAAAAGTTGACAAACAACTACTTTGATAATTCGATAATCTGTCAGCCTAAAAGGATAACATGATTATAAAATAAAAAAAAGAAAATGAAAAAATAGCAAAGAATAAAAAAGAGCGCGTAGCACTGGGGGAGGGCCGACTGAACCGAATACTTGTTATAGCGCATTATTACTATAAGTAGGGTTATACTTTTTTTCTGCTTATTACCCAATTGTTTGTTTTTTTATAACAACACCACACATTTCAGTACGTTAAAATTTAAAAATCTTAATTGTTTTAATTTTGTTTATTGACTTTATTAATGTTCAAAATTTGTTAAGTTTTTTGGCAGTGTGATTCCAAGTAATTTGCCACGCTCTGTACATGTGGGCTTTGATATTTACTTTGTGATCAGTCCAAGGCATTTGATTTTTAATAGCAATATTTTGGTCGGTGGTTTCATTGCTTGCCAGAGAGTCCACTTTCTCATTACCAATTATTCCCATATGGGAAGGTACCCACATGAAGGAAATATATTTTTGTTGATTTTGTAGGTGAGATAACTCTTCTTTGATCTTGAGAAGTATGGCGTGAGTTGTATATAGCTGTTTTATTCCAAGTAATGCGCTCATTGAATCGGTGATGATAACAAATTTGCTTTCATTGATAGACACATTTTTTCATGGCCTGATGAATTGCCGTAAGTTCTCCTATATATATATATTATAATATATATATATATATATATTATATATATATATATATATATATATATATAATATTATATATATATATATATATATATATATATATATATAACAACAATTTGTTGGGATTCGTATGGTACACTTGACGTTTTTGTAGATGTAGGCTGTAGCATGTCCTTCATCATATTTGGAAGCATCAGTGAAGATTTGGTGGGTTGTTGGGTATTTGAATATTACATTTTTATAAGCTTGCTGAATAAGGAAAGGATGTGTGGAATGTTTCGGGAGTTCTTTTAAAGACGTGTCTATTTTTGGAGGTTTGATCATCCAAGGAGGAACATGTACATGAATAGGCATAGTAAGACTGAACTGTTCTAAATTAAGACCAATACGTTTTATTCGTTCAGAAAATGGTAGTTTTTTTTATTGCAATGTTTCTGTAAAGATAGGACGATATATTTGTTCTGCAAAATATTGTTGAGTAGGTTACGTTGCTGTTGTTTGCTGAAATTCTGGCAACGTAATTTAGTGATAGGAGTTGCCTTCGTTGGCTTAAGGGTAGTTCATTAGCCAGAGCTTGTAAGCTACTTACTGGGCTAGTTCTTGTGGCACGTAAAACTAATCTCAAGCACATATTTTGAATGTAGTCAAGTTTTTTTAAAGATGTATTTGACAGCATTTTTAGTAGATTAATTCTGGATTGGCAAGAACGTTGTAGATTGGTAATGTGGGTTTCCCAGTTTAAGTTACGTTTAAAACAAAGTCCTAAGAAATTTATTTCTTCTATTTATTTCAGGACAACTCCATTTAGTGTTAATTGTACATTAGGATAATTTTTCCTTTTGCTAAAAATTAAATAACGTGTCCTTTCACTACAGAATATAAAACCCGTGTTTTGCGATCAGCTTTAAATTGTGTGTAAGGTAGTTTGCAGTATATGTGTTCCCAGAGTTACATTATTTGTTTTTAGATAAATGACTAAGTCATCTGCATATAGGCTAGTAAATACAGGTAGTTTTATTGGATGTATAATACTATTTATTGCCATAAGTAAGAGAGATCTACTCTTAGATCCTTGTGGAGTGCCGTTTTGAAGTGGTTCTACTTCGAAAAGTTTGTGTTTCTAGAAAATTTTTAATAAAGGACAACATGTGCCCTTGAACATCCCATTCTTGAAGTGTTTTTAGTATAAGATGTCTCCATGTTGTGTCAAATGCTTTTCTTATGTCAAAAAATACGGCAAGTTTTTGGTTGTGCAGAAAGGATTCATGTATTCAAGTGTTATTAGATTGTCTGTTGTGGATCTACCAGTACGAAATCCACTTTGTCTGATACTTATTAAGTTATTCTTTTTAATGTGCCACTTAAGACGATAATTAAGGATTTTTTCTAAAAGTTTGCAGGTACAACACAGGAGATATTGGACGATAGGAATTTGGATCGTCTTTTGGTTCCAAGGATTGGAATTATAGTTGCTTGCGACCATAAATCAGGAAAGTCATGGTGAATAAAGATATTATTAAAAATATCAACTAATATTAGCTTTGCATTCAGAGGAAGATTTCGTAAGAAAAGAGGGTGGATATCATCAGGTTCTGGACTCGAATTTTTAGCACTTAAACAAAATTCTAATTTTTGAAGACTGACTAGTTTGTTTATTGGATTGTCGCTCTCTGTGATTTGTATATTTGAAGACTCCGTTAGTTTTTTGTGCTCTAGAAAGGATAAGCTGTAATTGGAATCACCAGAATTCATCGTATATATCTGCTAGTATTTCTGGAATATCTTCTTTGTTTGAATGCGTTTGGTTATTGTATGATAGAGTACCTCGGAAGTATTTTGTTCCTTTTATTCAGCGGACTTTGTTCGTTTCTCAAAACTTTCTCGTTTTGCTTTTTCAATTAAATGTCTGCTTTGAGATCTGTGATTTTTAAACCTTAAAAGGTTTTCGGTAGTTTTATGTTTCTTGTAAACGTTAAAAGTATGTTTAGACACACTGAGTGCTTGTGCAATTTCGTTATTCCACCAAGGAGCTGGCTGCCTTTGACTCGACTTTGTTTTTCCCACTGCGATTGTTGCTGCAGAAATAATAATGTTATTTAATATTTCAAGATTTTGGTTTGCGTTATTGGGTAAATTAAATTTGTTTGTTTGTTCTTCTATCAGTTTTCGATATAAATTCCAGTCAGCTGACTTTGTTTTCCATGTCTGGTGAATTGAAAAAGTTGATTTATCATTAGTGTTTATGGTTATCGTGATAGGGAAATGATCACTATCATATAAATACCCCAATGTGTCTCAGTATAATAAAGGAGCTAACGACGGACTGTATAAAGAGAGATCTATGGCAGAAAATGTACCATAGTATGAATTGAACCTAGTAGATTTGCCAGTGTTTAGTAAAACTAAATTTAAATTATCAATAAGATTATTTAAGAGATTTGCCACATTTGTCGGTTTTGTTATTTCCCCAAGTACTGTTGTGACAGTTAAAATCGCCTAATAATATTTTTGGGTGAGGAATTTGGTTTTAAAACATTGCTTAGTTCAGTTATGTCTAAATCAGTAGGATGAGGTAAGTATACATTGCAAATAATGATTTTCATTTTGTGCATGACTGACACTGCAACTATTTCGAGATTTGTTTGTAGTTGTATTTCAGTTGACTCTATGTCATCCCTTACGAAAATTGCTGTGTCGCCGCTTGAGTGATTTGCAACTCAGTTTCTTAGAAAAGGAACATACTTTTTTAATGTCACATTTGGGTGCTTGAAATATGTCTCTTCTAGGCATATGACTAAAGGAAGATATTCGTGTATAAGAAGCTTGATGGATTCTATGTGTGTAAAATAACCGTTGGGGTTCCATTGTAATATGAATCTGCTGGCCATTAACTCTTTATTTAACCGTTTACTATTTATTGTTGACTTGATTCGTAGTCAGTTTCGTCAGTAGGAGAAGAACCGTTGAAAAGCAGTTTCTTTTTCAATCTGGTGATATTGTTTTTTAAAGTTTTATTTTGTATTTGAAAATATATAAAATTTAAAATTTCTTTTATTTCTTGGCTTGTATTTGAATAATTTTTAACAATAATTTCAGGATGTTTTGAGTGAAGGGAATTTGCCAGAACATCACATATTTCATGAAAAGCAAGTGTAAAGGAAGGGTTTCTATTTTAAATTTTTTCTTTAATTTGATTTAGAATAACTGGAATATCTTCTTGGGTTTTAGGCTTTTTCTTAGGTTTTTAAGTATTGGGAGGAGTTAGGTCATTTTCAAGGATTTCAGGTGAGGAGATTTGTCTTTTAGTAGCAGGAGTAACTTTAGTGGTTTTTCTATCGTTTTCAATTACTAAGGAATTATCTTGGAATATTTTTGGTTTATTTAAAATTTGTAATTCATTGTTTATTTGTGAGAAAGTGGTTTGGTCCTTCGTAGCTGATATTAATGCGTGATTTTGTATGGTATTGGGTTTCTGGTTCCATTAATGTTTCGGTATCTTCTTGGTATTGGTTTCGTGGTTGTTCTTGTAGCTGATTATATTCATCATTAGTAGAGTTATGTGTATTCACGTAGTGATCAGTTTCCATTTGATTAATTGAGTTGCTTGATGATGATAAAGAAGGACAGTCAGAATTGTGATGTCCAACAATCTTGCATCTGGAGCAGTTTAAACCATTTACGGAAATGTAGAGTCGATATGATATATTGTCAAATGAGATTAGAAATGAATCAGGAGTTGTTTCATTTTCTAAAGAAGTTATGAACATTTGCCTCCTAAAGCTGAGCACATGGCTGTATTCTGGATCTTGCATGCCTACTAGTACAAACGTCATGTTGGAGGCGGATTTTATATCCATAGTTTTTAAGTGCTCTTCAATTATACTATTAGGTATAATAGGACATACATTAGATATAATGAGTCTCTGGGTAGGGATTATAAGTCTTCTTACTTCAATCTGGTTACCATCAATATTTATACATTAGCGGGAGCTAAGAAATTGATCAACTACATATTTAGAGGAGACGTAGATGCAGATGCGGTTGTTTGCTATTTTGGATGCCCAAAAAACATTT